TAACTATATATAATATATATATATAGTGAAGGTTTGCTCGCATCTATGTTGCACAAATAGGGACACAGAGACACAAACATGTGACAATTTTATTATTGAAAATGTAGGCCAGAAAGGCGCCGTCATAATAAAAATTTTTATTGTGTATAACAAAATTCAATGTTTATTTAGAGAACACAAAATCATTTAAAAAATGTGATATTTCATAAGAGATTGTGGAGGATGACATGTACTTTTCAAGTAAGGTTAAGCTACATACATCATTGAAGGAAAATGTACGCAATCTCATCATCTATGAAAGGAATAACATGAGCATGGCCCCTACCTACACATATGGTGGACAAATAAAATCTTATGACTCAGAGACATTCCCAACTGTGTTTCTTGATGCAATTGAAGAAAGAGAAAGGGTCACATTGCCATGTTGTGTCTCATGGAGATTTTGATTTAGAACCAAGCTCAGAATCATGTTTGGTAAGATGTGGTACTCAAGGATGGATCTCATATTTTGTTAGGGGATTGAGGTGGTATGATTGTAGAAATCAACATGATAGATTCACAAATACATACTCCTTTATCAAAGATGGAAAACATATCATCCTTCTATCTTCTACGGATTCTAAGATCACAAGTGCCTTTATCAGTCGGAAGAGTTGGGAGGATTAATCAAGTGATGACAGGGGACCACGAGAGAAAAGATTCTGGAGCTGACTTGGACAACAAAAACAAAGATAGTCAAGACATTTAGTTGATAACTTATCACCCTCGCCATCACAAATCAAGGAGATTCAGACGTTCTCAACTCAAATCATGTTGCATCAATCATTGGTTATTTTGGAGAAGTAAAAGCTCTGCTCAACCCAGCAATGTACCCCACAGTTGGCTGGACTGATATGGATGTTTGCTCGCAAGTGGGGAAAACTTGTTAGAACTATTGAGAACAACACAGTCGCTAGTAGAATTTAGGTGTTTCTCAAATTGCAGTAGAGGATCCTTTAATCCTTGAAGGTTACAACGATTTTGCTATTTGTCAACATTCAGATAGAAGCTTCGACAAATAAGATCAAAGCTCCTCCAATCGCGGGTGACAGACGAGAGTGTAAGTCTCCTACACAACAACAAGAGAGAGCCAGCTCTGCTCCAGTTTGACTCAGAATTATTGAGAGCTAGAAGAAACTTTTTTCATTGGATTTGTCGCTTAATTGGAGTGAGGCCTACTCCCAATTTTTTTCTTAGTATATATTTCTACTTTTTCATTTGTTTTGTATTGGGAAAGTCGCTGGTGTCTCTTCTTCCTTTCAATGAATGTATCATTGGGTTCCAGGTGGTGCTTCAGCTGTATCTTAGTCTTCAAGTGGTATTTATATTCCCCATCCCTTCCCACATTCCTCTCGCTATGACTGTGAATTTAACTTAAAGATTGTTGATCATTCAACAATCAAATTGAATTTTGGCCCGAATTGCGATCAAATTGAAATAAATGAGTCGAGTTATGAGCCAAAACATTCGATCAAATCATTTCGAGCTGATTTTGAGCCATACATGGACTGGCTCGAACCGACTCGAGATTGGCTCGTAGGATATTTTATTTATTAAAATTATATATAATACTAAGTAAAATTATATTTATCGAGTAACAAGCTAATTTCAAGCTGATTTTGAGATGGAATGGATCAAAATAACTCAATTTGAGCAAATTTTAATTTTGAGACGCATCAAATCGTTTTTGGGCTGAAATGGACACAAAAACCTCAAATTGAGCCAACTCATTTTGATTTTGACCCGGATCGAGCTCGATTCAATTTTGAGCCAGCTCGGCTTAAAATTGAATATAACGAGCCACAAGCAAATCTAGAGTCACACTAAATCTATTTGAGCCCACCCTAGCCCGGCTTGAAATTAGGTGGCTAACAACACTACCTCTCGCTTCGCTACCTCACATTCCTCTTTGCTGTAAACGCCCCAACAAAGGTCCTTTTGTTATTCTTCTGGTAGTTCATCATCGTCCAACCATCCTTTTCATTGTTGCAGCCCGCCTCTCACTGTCATTCTCGCTCGTTGTCGTTGATCAATTATTTCTCTCATTCCAGCTTGCTACCATTTCCACAACTCCTCCCATTTGTTGTCGACATCCCTGCTACCGCAACTCAAGGTTGTCATTTCCAACTGATTCATCATTGTTCGGCTCCTCTTTGTTACCGCCAACCTTCCAGCCCATCCTTTTGTTGCCCCAACCACCCACAACCCATTTCAGCCATCCACGTCTCCTCGTCGACCACCTAGCCTACCTCTACCATTCATGGATCGAAACCTAATGTGAGTTTTATGTCATGTTTGCTATAATTTCCCCCTTCAAGTGTCTTTAATTGTAACCGCATATTTATTTTTCAGTTATTAATATTTATTTTTCTATTATGATTTGTGTTAAGTGGGTTATCATTTAACTTGTACACAGTGCCACCTCATATGTGCATGAAAATGTATATTTTATATTTAAGAAGTTAACATGGTGATATTTGAATTTTGGGTGGCGGTAAGAAGATAATTTGGGCAATAGATTTGTAAATAAATAGGAATTCGATGGTTTTCATGTAAATGCCCCCAAAAATCATGGCCGAGGGGAGGAATTATTGCGTGTGAACACCGCATGCACCTGGACGTAGATCACGGTGATCTACGGTCAGGATTATTTCTATTTTTTTTTAAATTTAGGTGGGGCCCACCGAAATACATCGGGACCGTAAATCAGGTAATTTACGGTCCGGATCGGACACCGCACGGTATACTTTGTAAATATGACAATTCATGTCAGGGAAAATGCACAAAGATGATTTGAAGCATATCTATGAGAACAATGCATTGTAATTGGAATTTATGATACATCCAAATTAGAAATATATTATCATTATTATTATATAATTATTATTTAAATATGCCATTACTCTTAAAATAAGTAATAAATAATCATTTATTTGCATTTATACAGATTTTATAATAGAAAAGATGCTCTCTATGATGAACCTAACAAATATCAAAATAATAATAATAAAAATATTATTATTATTATTAATTAGTTTTCAGATTTGATATTTGTGTAAATACATAAAAATTGCGTGGTTTGTATGTAAATACCCTAATTTAAAATGCTAGGCAATGCCTAAAAAAAAGACATTTACATACATACCATATAATTTCTATGTCAAATACATCTTTCATCCATAAATAAGATGACATTAATATAAGACATGTAAATACATAGAAATTAAATGATATGTATGTAAATCATCCAAAATAATTTTCTTAATATTAACAAAATCCCATGTCTCTATTGCAAGATAGCCAATATTTCAGGCCATTTAGACAAAAAAAAAAATCAAACATCAATGTTATTTTCTTAATAATATTTTGAGATTTTATTTTATTTTTAATCCATATAATTATTTTTTTATATAATAAAACAACAATTACTTAGCAAATATAAATTAAGGGTCCGTTTGGGGCAGCTTATTTGCTGCGGCGACGTTTTGAAAATGCGGCTGGTTTGTTTGGGTAAATTGAATTTTGACAGCTTATGCGTTTTCAAAACGTTGAAAACAACGTTTTCACACCGCACTTGTCTAGATGTGATGACAACTTTCTGACTGTGGTCTGACTTTTCATAAAAAAAAAATAAAAATTTGTAATAGCCACCGCACGTAGTTTATCAATATATTATTTTTACTCAGCTTATCAGCAGATTATTGAATAAGCTGCAGCTATTCCAAACAAACCCTAAATTTAGGTTCTATATTTATAATCAACAAAATCATAAATTGTATGGGGGGTATGTTGCAATTTGTGAGTGGGCCAATGCATTGTGAGAACAGCTCAAAGCCAGAAAACATATCTTCCAATGATCTGAATGATGGAGACTAGCAACACCTAGCTGGTGACCACATCTTTTGTCCAATTTGCAAAACTAAACTTTTAGCCATAAATTTATGAAAAAAAAAAGTTACGGAAATTTACATACCGGCACATAATTCTTTCATATTTACATACGTACCACTTTGAAATTTTAAACTTATATATAAAATATAGTAATGTAAATGCCCCAATTTTAGGCAATTTACATACTTGCTACACAATTATTATATATTTACAAATAAATCACCTAAATTTTGAAATTTACTTAAAATATAGTATAAAAATGTATACTTAATATTATTTTTGATGTGTAAGTAAAGATGTAGATGTTATATGAACGTAAAAGAAATCAAAGTGTAGGTGTTAGATATGTAAATATAAAAGAATCATTTTGTTTGTATATAATTGTAAATCTCCCAAAGAAATTATTAAGAGCAAGATTTTCTCATTGGGCCTCCCAATATATGGGGGGGGGGGGGCCCCCCACATGAAATATGTTTATGATTTTATGATTGATGGAGAATTGGCGACCACAAGCCCAATCATTCACATATAAAATCCTATAAAGAAAATCATATGGAAGATTTACATAAATACTACTCAATTCCTATGTATTTACATTTCTAACTCCAAATATTCAATATTTACAAATATGACACCCTGCCTATTCATGACAATGTGTATTTCACTTTTTAAAAGTTAACATATGATACTAAAGATTTGGATGACATAAATGAAAAAAAAAAAAAAAGTAAACTTTAGATTTTAGATATATAAATATATAGGAATTGGGTGGTTTGTATGTAAATACCCTAAAAGATATTTGCATCGAAGAAAGCAACCCCACAAAAGCCGGAACACACAAGTCACCAGAAGTATAAGTTGAAGTTGCGATAATTATTACAAATTTATTTTATTTTTAAAAAGTCGAATCACAGCTTTCTAGCAAACACCACATTTAGCCAAATCAGATTACAAAACACTGCTTTTCATCTCAACTTTTTGAAAAAAAAGCATACTAAGTAAAGGTTACTATTATTCATGAAAAAGCATATAATCAAACCATAAATTAATGACAATAAGGTCCAATATTATTTTTTAAATTTTACAACAAAATTTGGGGAAGATTATGAATCCATATGTTACAGTGATAATTACATAAGAATTATATACATATATATAGTTTATGTACAAATCTCAGGAAGAAATAGTCTCTGCAGAATCACACCAATGAACAGAACCTTCAAAGGAGATGAACAGCTCCTGCTTTACTGTGTCCTCTCCTTGCTGGACTTAAATATTTATTTAGTGCTCTTCTTTTATTATTTTTTTAATTTTAGCTTAGTTTTGGGGAGATATTACATGTCCTGAAGGGATGAGAGCCATCGTTCAATTAACTCAGAGCCATCTGAAGAAGACAAAAATGAGAGGAATGATTCAGAATAGTGAATTTGGGAAGAAATAGCATAAGAAAATAATTGCAAGTCTATAAAGATGTATGAATGGGAAAGACAAGAACTTGACAAATAGGAATCCAAGGACTAATTTTTGGCATTAAAAATTGCTTTTTTCTTTTCGAAAAAAATGGGGAATTTACATACTTACCACCCAATACTTATGAATTAACATATCAACCACCCAAACTTCAATTTTGACATACAAACCACCATGTTCTTATGTTTTAAGTATAGGTTGGGTGGTCTATAGGTAAAATTTAAAGTTCAAGTGGTTGATGTGTACCTATGTAAATCTACCTAAAAATATTACATACATACCACAATATTCTTATGTATTTACATATCTAACACTCAAAGTTTGATATTTACACTAATCATACCTTGATGCCATAGACATATGCACAAAAAGAAGTGTTTTGATTTTGAAAATATAGTGATGGTGGTAATTTTGATGTGATGTTAAGGATTTGAGTTGTATGCATGTAAATATGAATGTTGGGGTGTTCGCTATGTAAATACATAAGAATTGTGTGGTATGTATGTAAATGTCAAAAACTAAATTAGGTTTTTGTTTTTAAGTTCTTTTGGCTCTCAGAATTTGTTCAACATAACTTTCAAAATCAAAACTTTCTTCAACATGAGTGAAATACACAACTTTTGAATCATTTTCATCCTTTTCTTTTCCCATCCCATTTGGTTAAGTTGCAAAAGCAAGATCTGATAGTCTAAAGAGGCATTTACATGCATACCAACCAATTCATATATCTATTTTCAGATCCAACCCTCAAACTTTGCTTCTTACATATACACCACCAAAATATTTCATATCATATCAAAAGCACCATCATTTTTACTTTCAAAAAGTAAAATAAGCCTCCTGTTCATGCAAAGGCTAGGTGGTATGGTATGTATGTCAAAAATTAAACCTTGAATGTTAGATATATAATTACATAAGAATTGAGTGGTATGCATGTAAATCTTCCAAAAAAGATGCAATTTTTAAAACATACAGCATCAAACAATGAGAAGAAGTAACACAAATCAATCAAAAAAACTACTAACCAGATGAAAATCCATAGTGTTCAGTAAGAGCAACCAAGGCTTGGCCTTTCAAACTCTCCCGGATCTCGCTCCGGCCGCGTCGATAGCACGGCACAAGAACAGCAAAGCTGCCATCAGTCTCCCCATCACTACCCTGAAACTCAGGAGCATGAGGTTCCATCCACCCAATGGACCAATCTGAATCATCAGTTTCAGAACCTGAGAGGCAGCCTCCATCAGAGGGGACGATAACCACATCAAACTCCCTATCAATCCTCACCCTCCTCTCCTCCCTGCTCCTCCATTTCTTCTTAATTCGTCTGGAGGAAGATTTCATCTCGGTCCCATTCACGCATGGAAACCTAACTGAGTCGTGCTCTCTGAATCCCGACGGGAAATCAGAAGACGAATTCAGAGCTGAATTAGTGCTTTCATTGCCGTCCTTCGTCCCCCATAACCAATAAGAAAGACGAGTGAACGACACGGCCATTTCAAAATCCCCACCAATCTGAGAATCTAACAAGATTGATGAAACCAGAAGGCTCAAAAGAAAAATTTAAGAAAAAAGTAAAAGAAATCAAAGAATTTATAATAGTTTCGTCAAAATTCCCAATCAGGCAGGCAAAATTAAAAAAAAAAAAAATTAAATTTTGAAACAAAGAACCAGATCCAGACCGAATGAAGATCAGTAATCAGAGAATCAAAGAAAGCAACCAAATAAATTTATAAAAAAATCTGGAATTCCCCCCTTTTTAAACTGAAAAAGAAGCTTCGGAAACCCTAATGGAGAGTCGGACGCAAGGATTGATTCACGAACAAAAAGATGAAGTTTTGCTAATCCAACTAATCGGGAAAACGAAAATCAAGAAATGAAGAACAGCACAGAAAAATCTTCCGAATCCGGCGATCAGCGGCGATACAATTTGCACCTTTACTTCCAAACAAAATCGCCTGAGCGAGATTGTGAAGATGGAAGAAGGTGCGTCCAGATACAGAGAGACCTCCAGAGAGAGTGAGAGAGCGAAGCTGAAGATTTAATAGAAAAAAATCGTTTGGGTTATGGAGGCGTTATGACCGTCCATTTGGCGGCGCCGGCAGCCAACCAATCATTTGGATTGATTCCGGCGGAGGCCATTTCCGGACAAATAAAAACTCGTAATTTCTATTATGTTTTTTAAAATTAAAAATTTCAAGCTTCTATAGTAATTTCGAGTTAAAATATCATTTATAAAACTCATGTATTATCGTTGACAATTGCCATAAAAATTAAGTTATATTTAATAATTAAATATATTTAAGAAATTTTCTTTCCTAAATTTAATGAAAGCGAAGAGCCACAAATCCTCACTTTGAATGTATTTGAAGGAAAAGACTCGAAAGAGAGAAAAACTAAAATACTATTACTTCATGCCACCATAACATGGCAAGGGAGGTCCTTAATCTTTGTATAGACCTTTCTGAAAGCAAGAAAAGAAAAAAAGATTTGCCACCTAAATTGATGCTTTTCTTAAGTATTTTGAGATACCCCACATAAGCCTCTACCATTATCAACCTCTTGCAAGCTCAAGCTATAAGCTAGTCTCTAAGCATATTAAACCGCGGGGTATGTAAAGGCTTTGTGAAAATATATGTAAATTGATGAACAGTTGGAATGTAGACAACATTGACCTCCTTTAATTGAATGTGCTGTCTCACAAAGTGATAATCTGTCTCTGTGTTTAATTCTAACTTGAAAAACTGTATATTTGACAAGTTTCATAGTATATATATCGTCTCAATAAAAAGTGGTGGGTGTTGCATATCGATAATCATTTCAGCCATATGATATCTATTATATAGAAGCAAGTGCCCGATTTTCTTTAGTTGTCGAGAAACCAAGTTAGAACAAAAATAAGAGCAATATATAGTGATTGAACAACAATCAGTTTGATCATTTGCCCAACTTGCATCAGAATAGAAAGTGAGAACAAGTAGTCCCAACTTAAGAGGAATGCACAGGTTGAGAGTGCCTTTAATATAATGTAAAAAAAACATCTGAGTTGGTGAAAATGACTATGCAAAGGTTGATGAAGATGTCGGGAGACTTGATTAACAGCGAATGTGATATATGATCTTGTTTGATTTTTTTTCCTTCAATCATTTTCAACCACAACTTTTATAATCAAGGTTGATGGGCCCACAAGATTATTATTAGTCAGCTTGGCGTGCAAGAAATTGCCACGTCAGCAAAAATGAGAGCATTCAAGGGTTCTTATAATATGACAAATCTAGGTAGAAGTTCTAAGGAGGAAGCGTTTTAAATTGCTCAAGTTCAAAGAAATTTCATACCTTTTTAAATATTTTATTCTACTTTGGGTATGATTAATAACTAATTAAATTATTACTAAAATTTACAATTGCTATATTAAAAGCTTGCGTTAATTGCCTCTCTGTTTCCTTAATTATTATGTATATGCTATAAGTATATGAATACCTGCTTAAAAATAGAGGCATTTACATCTGATATACATGTATGTATGTATCTATGTATGTATGTATGTATGTATGTATGGATTTTATGTTTTTTACATTCTAAGGTAAATTACATCTTTCAGGCATAATGATATATATATATATATATATATATATATATATATATATATAAAATTATGTTTAGTTATTTTTGGCTTTTGGATGGTTAAGATTTATTATTTAGATGGCCAATTTATTTAGCTATGAAAATTAAGTTATATTTAATAATTAAATGTTTTTAAGAATTGTTTTTTTCTAAATTTAATGAAAGTGGAGAGCCACAAAACCTCCCTCTTTAATGTATCTAAAGGAAAAGAAGCTGGAGGAGAGAAAAACTAAGCAATGATAAAACGATGGATGAAAGGAGTAGGAGATGGGAGTGAGGAAAAAAGAAAAAGTGAAAAAGGGGTGTTCTTAGTCCTTATATAGACCTTTGGGAAAGCAAGAACAGAATAAGAGATTCACTACATAAATTTGATGCTTTCTTAAGTATTTTGAGATACCCCACATAATACTCTACCATTATCAGCCCCCCCTCAAGCTGATATTTATTGATAGATGATGTAAGTTTGTCTCTAAGCATGTTAAACCGTGGTGTAGGTAAAGACATTGTGAAAATATCCGCAGATTGATCAACAATTGGAATGCAGACAATATTGATCTCCTGCAATTGAATGTGTTCTCTCGCAAAATCATAATCAATTTCCATGTGTTTAATCCTAGTGTGAAAAATTGGATATTTGGCAAGTTTCGTAGCAGATATATTGACTCAATAAATAGTGGTGGGTGCTACATATCAACTCGGAACTCTTTTAATAATTGTCTCGGTCATATGATATCTATTACAGTAGAAGTAAGTGCATGATGTTCGGCTTCAATATATGATTTAACAACAATTTGTTGTTTCTTTAGTAGCCAAGAAATCAAGTTAGAGCCCAAATGAGAGCAATATCCATTGATTGAACTACAATAGAATAGAAAGTGAGAATAAGTGGTCCTAACTTAAAAGAGGAATGCCAAAGTTGAGGTTGCCTTTAATATAATGTAAAAGATATTTGAGTTGGTGAAAAGGACTAGGCAAAGGTTGATAAAGATGTCGGGAGAGCTGATTAACAACGAATGTGATATCTAATTTTGTTTGATTTTTTTTCTTAAATCATTTTCAGCCACAATTTTCACATTGACCAGTATTAAAAATGATAGAGACTACTTAACACTCGAAGTCCCACCATTAGACTTCAAATCCAAATACATTAGGAGTCTGATGTAATATTTTTTCCATGAGCCCACAAGATTGTTATTTGTGAGCTTCGCTCCCTCGCTCTCCCCGTCTCTGTATTTGTACGCACCTTCTTCATCGTCACAATCTCGCTCAGGCGATTTTGTTTGGAAGTAAAGGTGTGAATTTTATCGCCGCTGATCGCCGGATTCGGAAGAAATTTCTATGCCGTTCTTCATTTCTTGATTTTAGTTTTCCCGATTAGTAGGATTAGCAAAACATCACCTTTTTGTTCTTGAATCAATCCTTGCGTCCGACTCTCCATTAGGGTTTCCCAAGCTTCTTTTTCAGTTAAAAAAGAAGAAAATTCGGAATTTTTGGTATGTTTGTTTGGTTCTCTGATTACTGATATTCATTCGCTTTAGATCTGGTTCTTTCGTTTCAAAATTGATTTTTTTAAGTTTTGCCTGCCTGATTGGGGATTTTGACGAAACAATTATTTTTTTCTTAAATTTTTCTTTTGCGCCTTCTGGTTTCATCAATCTTGTTAAATTGTGAGATCGGTGGGGATTTTGAAATGGCCATGGCATTCACTCGTCTTTCCTATTGGTTACGGGGGAGGAAGGATGGCCATGAAAGCACTAATTCAGCTCTGAATTCGTCTTCTAATTTCTCTTCGGGATTCAGAGAGCTCGACTCAGTTAGCTTTGAGATGAAATTTTCGTCCAAAAGAAGAAATGGAGGTGGGAGGAGAGGAGGGTGAGGATTGGTAGAGAGTATGATGAGCCCTATGGAGTGTTCTTATAATATGACAAATGTACATAGAAGTTCTAAGGAGGAAGCATTTTAAATTGTTCCCTTTCAAAGAATTTTAATACCATTTTTTTTATATTTTATTATTTTTTGGTATTATTAGAAGCTAATTAATTTATAACTAAAATTTACAATTGCTTTATTAAAACTTGTGTTAACCGCCTCTCCGTTTCCTTAATTATTATATATATATGTATATATGCTTCAATTATATAAATACCTTCTTAAAAATATAAACATTTACATGCATACCTTCCAATTCTAATGAATTTACATATCTAACAATTAAAGACTACTTTTTATATTTATATCATTCTAATATTTAATATCACATATCTAACAATAAAATGTGAAATAGACGTTTTTATACAAAAATAAAATGTCATAAATGAAAAATATTAAGTAAAAAAGCATTTTAACAAAGTGAAAGTGATTTTTATATTTGCAGATTGCCTTTATTTGGAAGCAAATAGACTGCTTTCATATCATTTCTTTCCTTTAAAGTTGACATTTATGGAGATTCCGCTAGATAGTCTTATAGATCCAATGAAAATAGTTTAGCTATTATTTGGAATTTTTATTTATTTTTTCTTTTTTATCTATACCTTTACCTGAATAAAAAAAAATTCAAATAAGCTTATTTAGAATATAAATTATGTAAAAATACAGAGTATAAATTTATCTTATCCATCATGGGCTTCACAGTAATAACAACTTTCTATTTTTTTTATTTTTCATTTTTAAGGTAATTCTCATAAATCTTCCTTTTATCAATGCAAGAAAAATTACATACATACCACTCAATTCCTATGTAATTACATATCTAATTTTTACATTTATGCAGGGCATGTGAAAAATTAAGTTTGGGTTATAGAGAAGTGAATACAAAGGAATAGAGTGGTATGTATGTAAATCTTTCATTTTACAAAATGCAAACATTTGCAATGATTTTAAATAACAGAGATTGATGAACCAAAAGAAATAATAATGATGAAGCCTTATGGAAATCATAAAAGGTTTTGAACAAGGAAAGAATATTTCCTGAACAACAATTAACTATCTTACCTTGCCAGCAATAGTCAGCACAAGAATTGAACTCAACTGCTACATGAAGAAGAAAAAGGACGAAAATCATCACAAAATTCTGTTTTCTTTCTCATCTGAACTTGGAGGAACAACAACTACCACCCCACCTCTATTATTCTCCTTGTTTCTATTCACAGATTCATCATTTCTGATGGAGTTTCTGTCGCTGAAAGGTGGATGGTTTTCTAACGAACTGGTTTCCATCGCTCGCGGCAGCCGTAACGGCACCTCGTCTTTGAGTTGAGCTTCATTTCGGTGCGGGGCTAAGGGTTCGGCCGGTTCAGTCACAAGTTGAATGGTTGACTTGCCCCAGTTCTTCCTTTTCTTTGGTTTTGATACTTTTGGGTTCACCTATGAACCAAAAAGGGCAGATGAAAAATGTTAAGGGGGCATTTACATACATACCCACATATAATTCATAGGTAAAGTGCCATATATATGTAAATATGAATGTGAATACATAGGAATTAAGTGCTATGAATGTAAATCTTCCAATTATAAAAGGATGCAACTTGCAGGAACTGCAAGAACAAAATAAAAGAATAAAAAATAAAGAAAAAAAAAAAAAAAACTGAAGGGTATATATGCAAACCTGAGAATTCCCAATATCAGCCAAGGGCTTGCGCTGCTGCTGTGGGCTGCAGTCATCTATATTAGGTTTCTCACTTAAAGCACTTTGAAGAAGCAATGTACCTTGAGAAACCATCTCCATGCTCTTCTCATCATCCAAATTAGGGCAGGAATCTTTCTTATTGGCACACTTCAAAGTATTGCAACTACAATCAATATTGCATGATAGACCAACAAATCGGCATTCACACTTTTTAGTTTTGCAAGAAGAGAATTTTGAGCAAGAGCAACAAATATGGCCATCATTTCCAATAACAGTTTTTCTCTCTCTCGATCTTCTCTTTGTTAGAAGCTTTCCAGATGCGACCCAATCTTCATCGGACTCATCGCTTTCAATGTCAAGCATCTCATCCGAGTCTGAAGTATCCATATCAGCTTCTACATTGCCATCACTTTCTCTTCCATGGTTGAAAATTATAGATTTTCGTGGAACCTATGCAAAATCAAGAATACAATTAGAATAAGTTGCTACCTTAGAAGTAAAGATTTACATACATACCATTTAGTTGCTAAACATTATCTTACACCTATAATTCAAATTTTTCATATATGCGACTTACCTATGCATGAAACAATATATTTCACATTTTAAAAGTTTACGCAGTGGCATCTTTTTATGTGATATGAAAGATTATGGTGGTTTTGTAAAAAAACAAAGTTTAGGTGTTAGATATATAAATACATAAAAGTAGCAAAAAACACGCAAGATGCAGAGCATTCAAGGTTACCGCTTTTCTTACACACAATTTATCTCGAAAAATGGCTTTTTGGAGTAGAACCTATGCAATTTTTTTATTGCAAAATTAAAAAAAAAAAAAAATAACTAGTATCCAATGAAGTTTTAATCAAAGTATCATGTAGTATAAAAAATGATAATAACACAAAGTAGTGCATTTCGAAAGCATTCTCATAAAAGGGGATCATATGCAATGGGAAGTCAAATTTCAAAAAAATAGTATCAAAAGGGTGCATAACTCGTTTGTCATTCATCATCTGGCTCTGAAGTACACAAAAATATACAAATTTATGATGCTTGGCTCACCTAATGATATTATGATGAAAAACATATGTTAGTTTCAAACAAAATGTAAATATTTTTAATTTATTATTTGCCAATTGTTCCAGACAATATACACCGTAAAAACATAATTGAAAAAAGAGAAACCAAACAACAACTAATAGAAGGCATTGACATTTAGAAGAAATTTTAAACAAAATCACTCTATATTTTGAATAATAGCCAAGAAAAACCACAAAAACACATTTTCATCTAATATTGTCGATGGGTATAAAATTCTCAAGCGAAACAAGTAAGATAGATTGAAAATACAATTAAACAAATGAGCACAAAAGAAAAAAAATAATTGCAAGTTAGCCCTTCGCTGAAAAAATGGCTTACTATTGTGGGAGAAAAAAAATGTTGCACATAATATAGCCTAACCTTCATATTCATCTCGTTTGGTATTGTTTTTTGGGCTTCAAGCTGTCTAACCAAGCTATTAAGAGTGTATAACTTCTCCTTCAATTTACCAATGAGTGAATCTTTCTCTTTGCAGATGACTTCCTTATCCCGCAAGTGACATCTGAGGCAGTGCAAGAGAGCGTTAGTTTTGTTCGATTAGATTTCTCCTTTTAAAAAAGCCTGTCAAAAAACTGTTTTTACAAAAATTGTCTTTTTAAAATTGATAGAAGTTTACAGCTCAAATTGAGTGTTTTTTTAGCGTTTCTTAAAAAGCACAATATCCAATGAACTCATTAAATTAAGAAAGGAGTTCTCTGAAATAGAAAGCGGCAGGAAAGTTTCCTCAAACGAGAGTAGTGATGGTAACCAAATGAGCATTCATTGAAGAAATGAGTGATTTCATAATTGTCATTAGCTGGAAAACAGTAAAATTCTTTTTAAAAAAATGCATTATTTCAACATGTAAATAAAACTCGGAGAATACCAAAGCAAAATTATTATTTTAAAGCTTCAGAATATATAGAATAAAAATTAAAAAACTAGTAATATTAAAGCTTATATCTTGTAACCTTGATAATACTGCTAAATTGAATAGATGGTTCAGCATTTTGCCTCAACAAGTGAGCGAACTTGATTCCATCTTCCTCTACCGCTAAATACACGTCCACGTTCTTCAGCTTCTGATAACTCTGATGCCATAAAAACAAGGGTTCTAGATGAAGTGGCAAGCATATTTTCAAGCTCTGCAATCCTCAATTTTTTAGCACTTGGAGACATTGTCTGGGGATAGTCGCTGAAGGAGCAACAATATCATATATCAACTTTAACTAATAGCAAAAGCAGGATTCCTTTTTTTTTAAATTATACATACCTCAAAATTTTTTGTCTGCCAATTTCAGATTCTTCTTTAAGCTGAGCAAGCTCCCTCGCCATAATAGCCCTTCTATTGACCCATCAAAATAAAAGTTAATTTCCAACTTAGTTCAAAAAATTAAAAGTTAAAGTACAAATTTAAATCCAAAATAATGAAATTTGAAAAAAGCCATATCAATAAAATTTTTCAAATTTACATTGCACAACAAATATAATAATATTAATAATAATAACCCATTAAGAACAAACCAATCAACAAGAAATTTGCTATAGATGAAGGGTACTAAGCACATTTTTGCTATAAACAAAGTATAGGGGTTTGATAAACTAAAAATATTTTATAACCTAATGTCAACTTATCGTTTAAAACAAATTTTGATGAAAGTTTAACCCTTCTTATGCCGAAACAATAATGTGAAAACAATGTTTGCTCAAGTAAATTTAAAGGAGGGTTAAAATTCAATTAAGCTAAAAAAACTCTATAATTACACATAATGAAAAATATTCATATAATATTTTATATAGATGATTGTAATCAAGATTTATTAATCACAAATAATGAATGTTAACTCATGTGGCATTTTTTCAGATGAGTGATGCCAAAAAGTACTAATTGCTAATATTAGCAATATGTTACCATAAAATAATATTTATCATTACTACAAGTAATATTTTATGAAAGTTTAGGTGCGAGATATGTAAATACATTGATATTGTGTGCTACATACAGAATGCATTAAAAGCATCATCCATGCAAATTAATTATTGAATGGAAGAAAAGAATCTTACTCTTGCATTCGACACTCATATTCTGAACGAACCTCGTAAACCCTAACAGTAACTTCAAGCTCATCCTCAATAGCTCGTATTAAAGCCTACTTGAAAAATATGGAACATCAATATATGGCAATAGAATTTAAAATGTGATCAAAGAAACAACATCTCGTACCTGAATTCCAAGATTATTGACATGTCCACCACCTGCATAAAAAACTATTTTAGTAGCTACTAAAATTATTTGTTCACACTATCAACCATATTGAACATGAAAGAAAAAATGAGATTATTGATATGAACTATGACAAAAGTAATAATAAAGAATAAGAATAATTCATTATTTATAGCAAAAACCTGAAGCCTCCCGTGATGAAGCTTTCTTAGCTTCTAGTAACTCTCTCAATCTTTTCGTGGCCATAGAAGCTTCTTCAGTCTTCCGCTGCAAAACCTGATGATCCCAAATGAAAGAACTAATGTCAATTTTGTTATATTACAAAAGGAAAAAGATAAGCTTCGAATACAAAGCGTTACCATTTTCTGACGTTGATTCAAAGCCAAAAGCTTGTGCATTTCATACTCGTTCCTTCGTCCCTCTTTCTTAAGCTAATTAAATAAAAGCATAATTTCATTAAAAGAAAGATTTTTTTTAAAAAAGGAGCTTTGGAATGATAGTAAAAAATAACTTCTTAAGTTATTTAGGTCTTGGCTTCATCATACCCTTGACTTTCACAACAAATAGACAAATTGCGCTCAAATTTAAAAGGTGGTCTTTTGAGGAAGAGAGAGAGAATAATTTTTGTATGATAAAAATAAAAAGAAATTATTTTTATCTCGTTTTTGCCTTCGAACTACCGAAAAATTATTGCATACATACACCGCATGCAGAGATGCATGCGGTGTCCGATCCTAATCGTAGATCACTGTGATCTACGGTCATGATGTATTTCGCTGGACCCCACATTAAATTTTTTTTAAAAAAAAACTTTAATTGCATCCTGACCGTAGATCACCGTGATCTACGGTCAGGATCGGACACCGCCTGCATCTCTGCATGCGGTGTCCGACCCTCGCTGTTTGCAATAATTTTTCCGAACTACCACACAACTATCTCTCTATATTGCTATAAAAATAGAAAATAATACTAGTTATAAACAATCTCTTATGCTCTTTTTTAGATGCTGGCATTATAGTAGTGATTACTAACTCACAACAACTTTCATAATCATCTGCCTAGGGAATCAAACAAACCAAAAATGGGGAGTTGGGGGTGGATTTGGTGGGCCGTGTAGGGGACAATGCAGTCTATTTTAGGGAAGCTAGCAATGAAGCAATTTCCGCACATTTCGCTAGGCTATTAAATGTTGATAAACAAAATTGCAGTATTGATCATTATAAATATGACCGGAAAATTATATATAGTACAAGTTATAAATAACAAAAGTTCTTTAGAATAAAAGACTTACCTGCAAAACTTCTTTCTCCCGACTAACCTTCCATGACCTAAATTGTTCGGATTCTTGTTTTATCTTTTGTTGTAATTGAACCTGAAAAGATAAAAATTTCTCAATAAAAATGTCCACAATAGTAACTGTATCTAGAGAAGAAACAAACCTTTTGAGATTTTATCTTTTGAATTTCATCTTGTAGCCTTTTTGTGGACTCATCACTCTTTTGTTTTTGCTTTAATAATTGAGATTGTGTTTCTTGCTTCTTTTTAAGTTCTGACACCTAAAAATAATAATAAAAGGCTAAGAAAGTAAGGGGAGATAATGCCTAAAAGAAAAACCTTTTTAACCAAACCTGAGATTCAAGCATTGTCAATTTATGAAGATATTCCTCTTTTAACTTTTGCGCGGTATCACCCGATGTGGATGATATATTTGCAAGATTAAAGCGAAGTTCCTCTATCTCATTCTAGAAAGAAAAATAGATTACCATCAAGATGCTTGCAACATCCAACTTCAAATAAGTTAGTAGATTCAAGTACCTGTAAAGCCTTTTTTTCATGTTCTAATTCCATCAACTTCTTCTCATAATGTTGCCTGAGAACTGAAGTATCCACCTTAGCAAACTTTTTCATTTCAGCCTAGTTACAGAAAAGAAAACATAATGTATAATTTGAAAGGAAAAAAAAAAGAAATAAAATGCTTACAGTGTTATATGCCATTAAAGAAAATGATTATCTAATTTTGCACCAAAAAAAAGTGCAAATGTTATGCACTATTAGCAAAAGAATATAAAAGCTCAATGCATTGGGATCAAAGTTTAACAATAAAAGATTCTTATTTGGAAGGGATAAGAAGAATTTTACATGCAGAAAGCCTAAAGGCTCCCGTAAATAGAAATATAAATTATTCTTCCATATTAACAAAGCATGAGACTAAAGTGCACAAACAAAACAATTACATGCTGCTCCTTAAACTTCTCCTAATCTATTTTGCACTAATGAATTATTACATAATAAATTCATCTATTGAAATATAGTTTCTCATACACTAGCTTAAGAAAGAAATGTTCGAGTACCTCCTTTTGTTCGAGTGTTCTATCCAATTCTTGGAGCTCTTTGCCCAATCTATCCTGCAGTGAAGAATGCTCCCTTTCTTTTTCATCATCTTCAGCCTCACCTAGAGAATCATCCACACAGAATCATATCAACAAAAATTATTTGGAGAAGGCACATAAAATTCAATGATTCAAGTGAAAAAAACATTCCTTTATACTTCTATGCTAATAAGTAGTGTATAAAATTTCAAAGGAGAGGAATACTACCCATAAGCATTTACATAACAAATTGGACAATATAGAAATTTTTGCTCTGTATGGAGAAGTGGTAGTGAGGGATTAGTGAAGTGCCTAATAAAATAAGAAAGGGCAAGGACAGTTGAGTTTTCATATTTGTCAAACTTGGTTATCAGTTCTCTACTAGACGGCCTCTTATCAGTCTCCATCATTCATTGTGCAAGGTGTACTAATATTTATATACAATAAAGTGGAAAAATATATGAAAAAGAATCAGAACATTCTACTTATTTACAAGATGAGAACGCTAGTAGCTAGTTTAAGCAAAATTTAAGTAGAGCCCAATGAAGTGAAGAGATAAGTTGGACAATTTCGTACTTAACCATTCAGTACCCTATTTATTTAAGTCCAGCTTCAACCAAACCCAAAGTTTTGGCTTTTGTTAATAGTTAATATCCATTCAACATACTAGATTTTTTAAAGATAAAAATAAATTTATCCAAAGTAATTTCATAATTTAAAAAAATGACACAAGGCCAATTGCATAACAATTGAATTTGAGTTATTCGGCAAATTCATCATGCTAAATGCAATAATTTTTGTATACTATAAAGTGCGTAAAAATTTAGGAAAACAATTTAACATCTAGTTAACATCTAACAAGATGAAAAAATAAGTTAAGACACTTTTGTAACATACTAGGGTCCTTCCATCAGAGATACATTCAAAATCATGAAGATTTGACAAAAAATCATCCTTTTCTAAAGCAAGACAACTCATGAAACCACTTCAAGTAGAGTTACATAAATTTTGAACTCGCACTAAGTCTATTTCTAACTTTTGAATCTTTGATGCATAACAATTTCGTAACTTAACCATTTAGTGCCCTATTTATTCAAGTCCAGCTTCAATCAACCCCAAAGTTGGGCTTTTGTTAATAGTTTATATCCATTCAACATATTAGATTTTTTAAAGATAAAAATAAATTTATCCAAAGTATTTTCAAAATTTAAAAAAAAATGACACAAGGCCAATTGCATAATAATTGAATTTGAGTTATTCAACAAATTCATCATGCTAAATGAGTAGAATCAGAACATTCTAATTATTTACAAGATTAGAATGCTAGTAGCTAGTTTAAGCAAAATTTAAGTAGAGCCCAATGAAGTGAAGAGATAAGTTGGACAATTTCGTACTGAACCATTCAATACCCTATTTATTTAAGTCCAGCTTCAATCAAACCCAAAGTTGGGCTTTTGTTAATAGTTTATATCCATTCAATATACTAGATTTTTTAAAGATAAAAAAAAATTTATCCAAAGTAATTTCATAATTTTAAAAAATGACACAAGGCCAATTGCATAACAATTGAATTTGAGTTATTCGGCAAATTCATCATGCTAAATGCAATAATTTTTGTATACTATAAAGTGCGTAAAAAAATTAGGAAAACATTTAACATCTAACAAGATGAAGAAATAAGTTAAGACACTTTTGCAACTTACTAGGGTCCTTCCATCAAAGATACATTCAAAATCATGAAGATTTGACAAAAATTTGTCCTTTTCTAAAGCAAGGCAACTCATGAAACCACTTCGAGTAGAATTACATGAATTTTGAGCTCGCACTAAGTCTGTTTTTAACTTTTGAATCCTTGATGCATAACAATTTCATAATTTAACCATTCAGTGCCCTATTTATTCAAGTCCAGCTTCAATCAACCCAAAGTTGGGCTTTTGTTAATAGTTTATATCCATTCAACATACTAGATTTTTTAAAGATAAAAATAAATTTATCCAAAATATTTTCAAAATTTTTAAAAATGACACAAGGCCAGTTGCATAACAATTGAATTTGAGTTATTCAGCAAATTCATCATGCTAAATGCAATAATTTTTGTATACTATAAAGTGCGTAAAAATTTAGGAAAACATTTAACATCTAACAAGATGAAGAAATAAGTAAGACACTTGTGTAACTTACTAGAATCCATGGTCCTTCCATCAGAGATACATTCAAAATCATGAAGATTTGAAAAAAATTCATCCTTTTCTAAAGCAAGGCAATTCATGAAGCCACTTCGAGTAGAACTACATGAATTTTGAGCCCGCACTAATTCTGTTTCTAACTTTTGAATCTTTGATGCATAACCAATCAACAAATCTGTGTTCTAGAAGAATTTTCAAAAACAAGTTATTAGTATTAAAAAAACAGCCTTCATGTAGTGAGAACATTGAAAACGATAATCATTAGATAAGTAGCTTTTTAATACCTCTATGTTTTCTGCACAATTGATCTCATCCCATGGTTTTCCATTACGCACGGATTGAATCTTCAAAATTAGCTTATCTTTTTCAACCTAACCATGTTCCAACAAAATACAAAGAAATGAAATTTAAGTTAAAATTTAAAAAACACATTATAAAGAAAGAGAGATTTTCATCATTTATTGTGAAATAGAATCAATAAAAATTCGTATAGAAAATTTCATGATCCTGAACTTCCCACATTACAAGCCATTATTAGAAAAGATAATAATCCTTTATCTGCTCGCTGCTTTGAGGAAAAGAATATATATTGGAGTAATTAAAAGAATAAAACTTCATCGAAAATAGTTAAAGTATTACATTATCTATTTCAGCCTAATGCATTAAACATGTTCCAACAAAACACTAAGAAATGAAATTCATCAAAAGAAGAGACATTTTCAGCATTTATTGTGAAATAGAATCAGTAAGCATTCGTATAGCAAATTTCATGATTTTCAACTTCCCACATCACAAGCCATTAATAGAAAAGATAATAGTCCTTCAGCTGCTAAGCTGCTTTGAGGAAAACAAATATATGTTGGAGTAATTAAAAGAAAAAAGAAAAAAAATTCATCTAAACTATTTAAAGAAAGTATTAGAGTCGCAAGATATTTCAACCAAACAGTTTACATCCAAGTACTTTATATAATATTTAGGGAAATTTATATATGTTGCACACAATTCATATGTATTGACAGACGAACCAAAACTTTCATATTTATATACATACTTTGGTGCTTTAAACATATACATGAAAAAGTGAATTTCACTTTTAAAGGGTAATAAAAGTGCTATTTTTTATATGATATTAAAGATCTGAGTGCTATGTGCATAAATATGAAAGTTTAGGTGTGAGCTATGTAAATGCATAAGAATTGTGTGCAATATGTAAATGCCCCATTATTAATGTATGTTCAAAGCAAATCCAAGCACCAAGAATTTTATGACCAAGTGCACCTGAGCATCTAAAGCTTGCTTTGCTAATTGATCACAAATGATTTGACGTTCTTTTAACTCTTGGTGGAGTTCAACATTACTCGCCTCAAGTAAAGTGACTCTCTCACGAAGAACCTGAAAAAGGACAAAATTACATTCATCATTTCATTTTTACATTATGAACCGAAAAAAAACAATTTAGTAGATTGATACCTGAAGTTCCTCAAAAGGTGCACCACCATCACGATAAAATAGAACTTCAGACTGCAACAACTCCAATTGATTGCGCAATTTTTGCATTTCGATTGATGCAGGATCACGGTTTATCTGGATTTAAAGCAAACAATTTAATAAATTACATGATAATTATTGGTATCATAACTTGTCTAATAAGTAAAATTCATACTACTAATAGCATACCACAGCCTTGTTTTGTATATTTTTCGCTCGATTGGCATATTTTAGAGTATTTATGGTCTCTTCAGCATTTGCATCGGCGGGGCTAATGCAGGCTGTCATCAAGTATATTAAATTGGAGTGTGTTATCATCCATGAATTGTTTGAGAATTTTCCACTTTAAATGGACATATAACAAAAAGAAAAGTTAATTCACCAATCATAACAGTCTTGCTGTTTCCTCCGAGAGAATCCTGCAAGCAATATAATTATAAGTAAACTAGTACACACTCTCTTTATAGATCCACTAGATGAAAATACAAATTAATGTAAAGAGAAAAAGGGTTCATTTAAAAGTAGGGAAATTTGCATAAACATTCTTATGGATTTACATATACCACACCTTCATTTTGGAAAACTATGTATAAAAAGTGCACCTAACTTTTAAAAAGTTAGTAAGAAAAAATATTTTTGATGTGATGTTAAAGATTTGAGTGTTATGAATGTAAAAATTAAAGTTTAAGTGTAATATATTTAAATACATGATAATTGTGTGGTATGTATGTAAATGCCCATTATAAAGAAGTGTGCAAAAATGTAAAGAATCAACAAATGTATTTCAAAACTCTCATTACAGAACTATGTAGTCAAACGCTATTGCACTTAAAATTCACCAATAAAAAAAATTACAACAAATGTATTTCAAAACTCTCATTACAGAACTATGTAGTGGTGAGAAATACTTGTAAAAAAATAAAATAAAAGCAAAGCAAGTTCACATATTAGTTGAATACTCCTTTAAAAAGACGTGTGCACAAATACTAAGTATCACACACTGCTGCACTAAATGTATTTCAAAACACTCATTACAAAACCTCAATAAGAGGCATCTAGAAGAAATCAATGCTAAAGCCCGGCAAGTTCACATATTAATTGAATAGTGCTGTAGCAATTTGGTTATGAGGCTTCATATTTTTATGGATTATCCAATACACACAATAATTAATTTGAATAAGCTTTTTGAAATTTACAAAAAATATAAATAATCACACACGAGATATCTTCCATTATAAAAAGTAGTAATAAAATACCTTATGCATAGCCTTCAAATGCATCTAAGAATATCACAAGTCCAATATGATTTCATTCAAGCTTCAATATATATTTCAAATAATCTCGCATTGAAATATTATTCCTTAAAATTAAAATAATAAAACCCTTGCAAATTGGACACCTCTTCATGTTCTCATAAAAGCAAAATTCCAACATTAAACTGTTGTGGATGAAAGTTTAAATAAATTTCAGATTTTATCTCTTTATAACCATGTTTTATGCACTTCCATTTTTCTTTTCCACTAAAACAGGGTAGAAACCTTTTTTTTTAAGAATATTGCACTAGACATTGAGAAATAATTCAGCATATATCAAGCAACTCAAGATGAAAAAGATAAAATTTGTAAATAGAAACCCTCAAATGATCAAGAATTTGCTAATCTGTTTAAGAATATGTGTTTGATAATTAGAAAATATATGTTACCTGCAACAATCGTGTTAACTTGCTATCTCGATAAGGGACATGGCCCCCCTCTTTTCGCTTCTTCTCATCACCAAGTGCGTTTATTACATTACCAAGAGCTAACAAACCCTTATTTATATGTATGCCTGCTTAGTTTGACAATCATTAAAAAAAATGATAAATCATAGAATAAAAGTAACAGTTATGAAAATCCTAATTACCTTCTTTCAATCTCAATCCATCGGCTCCAGTACGTTTCACACGTTCAGAGCCAGCAAGATCAACTAAGTGAAGCTTTGCAACCAAAATGTCATCCCCAAAATCATTGGCAACAGATCCAACTTTGTTAAAATCAGCATGTTTTTTTTGCTCCAAGCAAATTGTAAATATAGCATGCGAACGGCTAGAAAGAAATAAAAAAAATTAAAAAATAATAATCAAATTTCAAAATGAAATTTTCAAGCATAAAAAATATTGGTCCTTATCTTTGTGAATAAATTATCATGTATATTCATCAAATAATAGTTATAATAACACTCAATACGTTGTGGAAGCACTTGAGTTTTAATCTATGTCATCATCTAGATATACAAATAAAAAATTATTCTAGAGAATAAAGGTGTATTTACTAACATACACATTTTGAAAAAATGCCCATAAGTAATAAGAAATAGATAAAGGTTATGGTTGAATTAACAAAAAAAAAGCTATAGTAATAGAATATTTAGACCATAAATATATGACTGCAATAATGATAATATATAATAAAAGTCAACATAAAAATGTGTAGCACCACATAATCATGTTGTCATACTTTCAGTGTAGACAACAAATTAGATGATTTATAAAACTCATAGTGAAGTGATAGAAAAACATCAAGAATTAGTTACACAAGAAGAAAGTGCACCTTTAAATATAGCAATTGGCTAGCCAAAAATATAAGCCCCTACACCCAACATAGCAGAAAGATACTATTTGTTAACTAAAGTAGAGCTATCCCCAACAGAAGTGGCACTTATCAAACTCAGCTTTATTACATTAAAAGGCATGAATAATAATAATAGTAATAATAAATTATTTGAATCTTTGAAACACTTTAATAGTTTATATATAAAAACCACAATCAAAATTCAACATTTTTTTCTTACCAAACAAAGAGAAAAAGACCGAATTTGCAGAGAGTTCACCGAAAAAAGCACTAGTCATAATGCACATAGGGAATCATAATACAGTGGTTTTTTTTTTCTATTTTCAAATAAAAGTTATATGAAATTCACTTATACAACGTGCATTATAAAAAATAAAAATTACATTGTCTTATGAAGCATTGTGATAACAATAAGCTCACCCAGTCGAAGGGAAAAGATTATTATAGAAAAGTGAGTGCATCAAAAACAAAATTCTAAAAATTACATTATGCAGTGCTATCCAACAATTTCAATACCCCAACCTGGATTGACTATTCATATTAGTGCTTCCCGTAGCACGAGATTGAGATCCACGCATTAGAAATAACGCCATCTCTTCTATGGATGCAACTTCTGCTTCAGTAACACCGGCAAGGATTATACCTCCATTGATAGTTTCTCTGATTTGAATTGGAAGTCTAGATGGCTTGACAAGTGAAGAATTGCTATCAATTTTCAAAGAAACATTGGCTTGTGGATCCAACAAATCAAAAACTTCTTCTTTGAATATCTGGTGACAAATTCATGTCATAAGAATTTGTCAAAGGCATGAGAAGTAAAAGAAGAGTAAGAATAAATGAACAGTTTTTAATATATCAAAATAAATGATAAACTGGAAGCCAAAAATAAAAATTTTACCTCAATAAAAGAGACTCGAATAAAAAACTCGGTATCGGTCTTCATTTCATCTACCTTCTTGAATATTCTTCTCATAACCAGTGGTATGATCCCGCCACTATGACTCTCACCATCAAAGTTAGTTCCCATTGTATAAGTTTTACCAGAACCAGTCTACAAAAATAGAGTTGCAATGCCGTATAAGAAAACATTATAGGAATAAAAAAAACGTCATAAAATTCACTAATTTGAGAGGAAGAATAGTAGACCTGTCCATAAGCTAGAACAGTCGCATTGTAGCCATGGAAAACCGCATCAACCAAAGGCGCTACACACTCCTCAAATATGCAACACGAAGGAGTAGCAGAACTCCCATAAACATGATCATATGTGAAACAATGATTCCCTATTTGAACCTGTTTTTCATTTAACACAACATTATAGCCGAATGCGAAACATATTCCTAAACTAAGTTTCAAGAAGCAATACACTATCATATCACTCAAATAAAAAAAAAAGAAGAAGAAAAACAGCAAAACCTAATTAAGAAAAAGCTTTAAGAAACAAAGAAAGCCAGCTAAAACAATCATCATACCCCAGAAAACTAAGTTATAAAAGCTGCGAAGCAAACAACAATGTAACTGAAATATAAGCATCGCGTACCTGAGGCTCGCCAGGGACGACGGTGACGCAGTCCGTGCATCCCAGCAACAGTTCCGTGGAGATCAATGGCCGTATGTTAACTGCAACCTTTACACATTCTCTCTGCGACGACTTAACATCCTCCAACACATCCATCTTGAGAAAATTTAACAGCCGAAACCACAAGAAAATCAAACAGAGCCTAATATTTCCCCCTCGATCTCCACCGATCCTAATAACAGTAATAAAACATCAAGAAACGAAAACAAACGAAGATCATGAAACGGGTTCCGATTAACTGCACGAGATCAGGCCATACCTTCTTCGATTAAAGCGATCTGAGTGGCGATGAGGGGAAAAAATGCACTCAGCGTTTCCCTTTGTGAATGACGAGGATTTTCCTCTCTCTCGCTTTATTCCTCTTCCCCTTTGTCGTTTCCTCTGTTCTTCTCCTCCTCTCTGCAGCGGAACTATCGGAGTGGAAACGAGTCAAAATGGAGAGGAAGAACCCTCCGCCTGCCGCTAATTCAAAATACCATCGAGGTCACCTGATACGGCGTCATATCACGTGACCAAGGGCCTCAATCGAACCGTTAGAGAACCGGGCTAGCCCCTTATATATTGCCTTTATTAAAACAACTCATCCCTCAACCTCTCCATTCAAATTTCAAATACGTAGATCCGCTGACTTTTGGAGCCAATTTTGATCAATTATTTTATTTACAAACAAAATTTAGCTATCTTATGAAATTTATAATTAGTTATTGCTATATACAATAATGTCGTTGAGAGCAAATATTAAAATATTAATTTGCTTATTTCAATAATTTTTTTTCTTGCAAATTTTTCTTGTTAAATGAAGAATTTTAATGTTTTTGATTTTTTTATTAATATATCATATAAAATATATAATTTAGGTGTTTGCACTAATCTTGAAGATATCTAACAAAGATATTAATACAACATAGGTGGATCCATTGAAAGAAGATCGTGAGGTCCACCCGATTGAACGAGTCAAGCCATGTAGGCCAAGTCAATAAGGCCAAAGCAAACTGAGCCAAAATGTGGAGAGGAAGATGACAGGGTGGTCCAAATGTAAGCTATCCAAAGATGATATGATGTCTGAGTCATTTGAAGTAGGAAAGCCAACTTGATGTGATAGTCTATCTCACAGTGAAAATGACCTAATGGACAAACCAATTCCACTAAGTATCTTCGATCATGCAGCGGAGACCCAATGTCTCCTCACCCGGGATGAAAAGATAGTCAACCGGATTGGATTAGCTGACCAAACCATACCAATCAAGTTTTGCCGACCAAGCTAACCCAACCGAGCCAAATCAGCTAAATCCGAGCAAGAAGGCAACCATACCCCAAATACATACACTTTTCAAATCTGCATAAAAATGTAATATTGATGTGTACTACCTCCTCTATAAATTGAAGAAAGATTTATAAAGACGTAACACTATTCATTATTGTTCATCTCTCTCTCCTCATCTACCGTCTATTTTTGGAAAAACTTATTACGTACGGAGAGCGTACGCAGAGCTGCGTGCCCTCTCCGATCACATCCGCACATCAACCATCCCTGTATGTCAGTTGGTCCCACTTTTACTAAATTTAAAAAAAATAATTAAAGAGATGATTGATGTGCGGCTGTGATCAGAGAGCGCACGCAGCTTGCGTACGCTATCCGTACACAATAATTTCTCCTATTTTTGAGTGTGATTCACGAAAAATATCAGATTCAACATCCTTAAATTTGTAGTAATAGTGTGTCATGCCACCAACAAATTGAGTGGTATGTTTATAAACCTTTTATTTTTTTCCTTTAATTCTTGTATTTTCTAATTTTCGTAAATAAAAATTTATCATTTTAGCATGATGTCACTTTATATTAAGAAATTATTTTTATTATTATAATATCAATGGTCTTTATATGAATTTATTGATAAATTGCCCCATTATTATTGTTTATTTCTTTAGTAAAATATTAAAAGATTCTCCTGATTATTTATATCAGTCATTATAATCTTAAAATATTTAAAAATGTCAAATTAATCTTCAATTTTTTTTTAATAGAAATTAAAATAGCCATTTTTTTAAAGACTAGAGATTATTTAAAAAAAAAAATAAACTGTAGATCATGATTGAGAGTATTTTTAAAATTATTATTTTGTGTCCCCATCAAAAAAATTCTTAGCTTTGCCCTATATGTAATTAAACCTAAGAAATAATAAATAAATCTCTTGTGACCAAAAACATGTATTGTTGATTACTAAAAAAATCAATAATAAATACGAACATCACACCTAAAATTAAGTTTTTTATGTTTTTTTGTCAAAATATTGGTCAGAGGTCATGATGCGAGCCCCCAACCAATCTCATGTGTCTAACCACTCGATCCCACATTGCAGGGTAGATGCAGTCAGACGGTCTCGTACCTGTGACCCCAAGGTACTCACAACTGACAACGCAGCTGCCGACTAAGGAGTCACAACGCGCGACACATCACAGCTAAAATTAAGATGAGAGAATATATACAACAAAAACTGAAAAGATTATATTGAAAGACTCCATATTTATATGCATGAATAAAAGCCATGTTATAACATAGAAATGTGAAAATAGAAAACTTTATGCTGTTATATCCAAGAATGCAGCTCCCACCAAAAGCTCTGCAAGACCTATAGTCTATGTAGTTATCCATAATAAGCATGCCTCTTTTCTCATCCAAAGTGTTAAGCATTCAAAATGCATAAATATTAAGTTTATTTTTGTGTAACTTTCATATTATATGTGTTTTTTATGCTATTTATTATATAGTTTGCTACATGAAATTGATAGGATAATAAGTTGGAGATGACATAATGAAAGTACTGTAGCAATATTACTATAATAAAGTTCATGTAGCAAACGCTAAAGTGCTATGTAGAAAACTTTTTCAACAAGTACTCAACATCACAACGCTGGAATGGAATTTTAAAGCATCACTCTTTTGAGCACCGCAATACTATCGATGCCAGGGCAAGTAGCCAAAAAATAGAGGGTAGAGCGCCTAAGCACCAGACAACGAGCGCTATAGTGTTTGTTGTCCCCACAATGTTGTATCCAGAGTGTCGTAACACGACGACCGGACATAAATAACCATCAACTTTAAAATTTAAAATTTAAGGAGGGAATGATAATTAGAGAGTTTAATAGGCTTGAGAGATGGAGATGAGACATTTGAGGGGAAGGTTAGTGCAAAGGAGAGAGTCTAGTGGGGAGTGCAAAGTCTAGTCAGCGTTCGGGGTCTAAAAGTGTGTGTAGAAGTGAGTTGTGTAAATGTGTAATTGAAGAGGATAAAGAGAACTTCGAGGGGGCTACTTCACTTTATAACTACTTAAATTATGAGTCTTTTTTGTGTTTGACTTTTTTCTCTGTTGAATTCTCTTATAAAATTTTATAATTGTGGTGAAATGAAAACTTTATTATGTTTGGATAATAAAAGTATGTTATGCTGAGGATTCTTTTCTTTGAATTTGTGCTTTATATATCAAATTCTGTGAATCTACTTACATAATGCTTTGACTCCATTGCTTGTTTATGTTTCTTTCAATTTAATTTAACATAGTTATAACCACACATTTGATTAATATTTAATGTGTGTTAACGATATCGACAATATTAAAGTAGTTATAACAATATTGCTCCGTTAAAATGAATTTTATCATGTTGCTGTTTTTTCTAGTGTTGTATCTTCTTCTTGACATAAAATTGATTGGTTAAATCCGAGTCTCAGATGAATTCACGAGATTTATTCTTCCGTGACTTTGAAGCTTTTCTCTGTCAAGATGGATTTGATCAATTTGGATTTGCTAATCCTAATTAGCGTAAATCTGTGATGTAGTCGAGCACCACATTAGAGTTAGCAGGATTTAATAAATTTGTAAATTTTAAATTTGTTAAATTTATCTGCCCCTTCATTGAATTTATTAAATAGGGATTTAAACTGAATCTAAAATTCAGACCTTACATTCGAAAATTCATAAATTCATGAAGTTTGCACATTTTTTATGTTTGGCTGGACTTCATAAATCGGATAATAAATCATGTTAATAGGTGCTACCAAACCCCCCTTAAGGATTTTTGAAATCAGTGTTTCTAGCTATTGACCAATGCTTACAACTATGTATGTTTTGATTGACTGCAAGATTTTATACTAAATTCATATCCCGGAATTTGATAATATTGATTGCAAATTTGAAAGAACTTTATATTTTTTTAAATACTTATTATTATTTTAGAAAACCTAAAAATCATCTTTTGAAAATTTTTATTTTTTGGATAAAAAGTAGGTTAATAGCTAGTGTTTAAACTTCATTTTCGAAAGTCACAACTTATCCTTGTGAGAATAATCTCATATTCAAGTGCAATAACATTGTTTATTCGACAGGATCAATCGTGTTTGCCCTTGCAAAAATCGGGCCACCAAGCAATTGTAATGATCCTAAAGTCAAGTGCAATTGACAGTCCTTAATTACTAAGATGTAGTCTATGTTTAATGCAACTAATAGTCCTACAATATATTGCTATTTGCACATTTATTTCTAGTTTTATTCATTCACTTTGCTACTTGATTTTATAGTAAATATTTTGTTTTCTTCATAACCCTATAAATTATACAATAATTTGTTTATATTTTAGAACATGCTCTTCATTAGTATCTAATCTTAGGTAGTAAATTTTATCTTTAATTTTATTTTCGAACAAAATATTTAACTTCACCAATAAGAAAAAACACATCAAAATTACTCTTAATAAAATAAATCAATATTAAATTGATACTATCATTAATAAATGTGATATGGTACAAGGACTCTTTTAAAAAGGTGATAAGAATAGCCACCATACATCTATGTATTAATGCCAAACTCATTTGTCCCAATCTTTGATACTATATATTTAAATCCGTCTTCTCCACAATGGTTGCTTCTATTATTTATTCTAGTTTTAATGACTTGTAAATTAGTTCCTATCTTATTATCTTGAACAATCACCAAGGGAATTATTATCATTTCTTAAGCATCATCTTTGAAACTTGCTTGGCATCCAAAATTTACAATTAATTGTCCATAGAATTCAAGGTTCATCTCATGCTAACATTGATCAACCAAACTTGATTTAGTACCCTGATTATCACATATCTAATGTCCATATTGAGAAATATTAAAACATAAACAAAAAACTGGATCACATGAATCATATTGAAGAACTCCATATCCGACCATCTCCATATTATCCATATCCAAGACTAAGGGTGCGTTTGGGACATCTTATGCTTATCCATATAAGCCAATTATCTAGAAACGTAGACTCTATGATTCTACTCGCGTTCTGTGTTTAGTGTAAAAACAAACTGTTTTTTCAGATAAGCTGCTTGAACACAACTTCCAACTGATAAGCGCCCTAAAGAGAGCCTAAAAGAAGTCTTATTATTACAGCATATGCAGCGAAATCAATCAAAATTC